TTGAACATTTAAATGTTTTCAACAAACACATTCAAAGCAGCACCTATATAGCGGTAATTAGCGTGACAGACAAAATACTGCCCTGTGGGACACCTTATCCTGATTGCAATGGTCAGACAGGGTTGAACTCACTCGGACCTAAAATTTTCTGTCTTTTAAAAACTGTGATATAAAAATGGGCAAACGGCCTCTCAAACCAAAATGTAAATCCTTCAAAATGCCATGCTTCCAGGTCGTATCATAAGCTTTCTCAAGATCAAAGAAAATTGATACAGCGTGTTGTTTATTTACTATAGTATTTTAACAAAGGATTCTAAACGTACCATATGATCAATGGTACTACGAGTTTTCCTGAAACCACATTGAATATTGGTTATAAGGTTATTGGTTTCAGTATACCATGTTAATCTGTTGTTTACCATTCGTTCCATGGTTTTACAGACACAACTCGTTAAAGAGACTGGTCTGTAATTAGACGGATCAGTATTATCCCAAGCCAGGTTTTGGAATAGGGACTACGTATACAATGACATTATGCCACGAAGTTGGGAAATTCCCTGAAGTCCATATTTGAATAAAAATTTCTAAAAAGATTCTAAACATGATTCCTGTAAATGCTTCAAGAGCTGATAGTGAATATTATCAGCTCCTGTTGCTGTATCATGAGCTTGCTCAAGGGCGGTATGGAGCTCATGTAAAGAAAATAATTCGTTATAATCTTCACCATTGATTTAAAACTTATTGTTTTCTTCTCCTCTTGTTTCTGATACTTTTGAAACTCAGGGACATAATTTGATGAAGATGAATGCTTGGCAAGAGTTTCACCAAGTTTATTTGCAATGTAAGTTTTATTAGTCAATAAATGAACACCGTCCTTCAAATGATGGAACCTTTGCCCCTTTTTCTTTGGATCATGTTCCACACCTTTGACATAGATGTACATGAATTTTGACCCTTATTTTGTTTATAAGCGGTATGGCCTTAGCATTACTAATTTTGACTTCGTCTAGATTATGGACAGTAGGATGTTGACGAAAATATTTTTCGGCTTTCTCCCTACTTTTTCTGGCCTGTTTACAGTCATTATTAAACCATAGTTTACGAATATGTGGAATTGCAGAGCACTTAGGAATTGTTTTGTCAGCAATGTCATTTAGTGTGTCCGAAAAGACTGTATAGGATCTTCACTGTTCCTAAAAATATCATGCTTCACGTGTTCAACACACAGAGTTTCATAAAAGGACCAATCAGCCCTGATGATGGTGGATCACCACCAGGGTTGACTGTTTTCAGAATGGAATTTCTCCATGATTTTACCTTTATTATTAGTATGGACACTTTCCCAAGGCGGGTTGTGTCCGTTCAGGTCACCCATGATAACACATGGCTTTGGAAGCTGATCATATAGATTTTGAAGATCAGACTGTCGGATGTTAGAAGAAGGAGGGATATACAAGCTGCACAGAGCCAGTGCAGTGTACAGGGTCAGACGAACAGCTACAGCCTGGAGCTTGGTATTAAGTGGGACGGGGCTATGTAGTATACCCCACCGTACTAAAATAGAAGCATCTCCAGTTGCTTTATCTCCTGATGGTGAAAGGGAATGATAATCGCTGTACTATCGTAAAGTAAAGTTATCTGTAGCTTTTAGATATGTCTCTTGGAGATATATTGCTGACGGCTGAAAATCTTGTATCAGCAATTGTATCCCACTGGAGTTATTTTCTAGTCCTCTGCAATTCCTTTGCATTTAAGTAGACAATTGAGTCATGGCGGCTTAATTGGTGATCTCTCTCGTGAATGGGTGGAGGAGATATGTATCCACTTGTCCTGTGAGGACACTGTAATCTCCATGTCCAGAGGTCCAAAGGGGTTTTTTAAAACTCATTAAGGCCGAGAGTCGCATATTATTAGCTCCTCGCAGCGAGAGACGCACATGTGCAACAACAGAAAGCACCTCTTATTCAGTGAGAGCCGCACGTGTGCGACAACAGAAAGCACCTCTTATTCAGCGAAAGCCGCACATGTGCGTTTTGCTTTTTAAAATAGCACTGTACCTATTATTTCAACCAATTTAGCAGTACTGAGCAAAGATTAGCTTTTCTTACGCGAGATGCTACCTTTGGTGTTAATCAGAAGTATTTTAAGTGTTTTGATATCAATTGCTAATCTGTATCATAGGCTTATACAGCGTTTGACAAATGAACACATGTCGGCGAGAAAGGGAATTATGAGATGTTTTTACAGAGGAAAGTGTCTGGTACTGTTCATTGGGAGTGGATACTAAAATACTTTTTATGCACATTGATTGAATTAAATGTAATGGTTTGGAGGTTTAGAAGATTATATTTTGTCACAATACGAGATGAATAATGCAAAGGCAGGAATGTAATAAATGAAATTTATTACAAAAATTATATATATAATGGAATCAAAACCATTTGCCCAAAATAAAACCCCAAATCACCCTTCATTCATACCGCATTCGTCACCAAACATAATAGTAGCACACAATCACTCCTATACATATCCTTTACACATACAAAAAAAAACAAACCCTAACCCAATAGAACACTACATTTGTATAACACAACTATTTAACATTGTACAGAGCGTACACCCCGTGTATCAAACACGGAATGGGACTGAATGTTCACTGATGATAAGTTCAATCATATAGCTGTAGCTCTTCTCACATAGCAAGGTCATGACAACCTCAGTCTCTCACGGTCAGCCATCCTGACGATGTTTTCGCTGGTCAGTCACACGAGGAGGCAACACAGACGCCACCTTTTACAGGTCAAGGCCATCATACTGATCTGCCTCTTACACACAAGGCGAGGTTACCACACAGATACTGCCTTTTATACGGTCCGGCACAGGTCCCGGGCACTATACAAATATCAAAACAACATTTGATATACTTATCATTCAATGTACACCGAGTTTTACAAACTCAGAATGATAACAATCATTCAACGTACTAAGAGCATTAGATACTCAGAATGATATTATACTTTACAGGATGAATATCACAGCATTACATTCCACTTAGAAAAACTTTTACGTTATTCAACATACAGGCAAGTGAATATGCTGATAAAACATCTGATTACAACATTGTTTCACAATGTAACACGTATAACTGACAGCAAAATAATTTACCTGCAACTAAATCGTGAGAATTGACATTTTAGTATATTTCTTGCTACAACATTTGAGGATTGACAAAATGATAACATAATCATCATTTAACAAATGCCCATATATACATAGCTCCACAATAATAATTACAAATCAAGATGATAAACATAAATATCCAATAAAATAAATTCTACTCACGCCATGAAATTAGACCAGCCACCTTACATAGCCATCCTCATCAGATAACTTTCATGACTGCACTCCCCAACCCTTGCACCCTGCCTAATATAATCAAACCTCACACCTTGCATGCTTTTCTTGCCACACTAACCTCTTCATATCACCTTGCATGCTTTCTACCCATTCCCACACCCTGATCTCACCTACAACAGTCCAACCACACTGTAACACACGTCATACAGTTAAACCAAACTACTATGTGATCTTGACATATTTTCTTCAACTACCTAATAAATATGAAAGAATATACGAAATTTCAAGGACATACAAAGAATTCTAACCCAAAAGAAGAGTTTGAATGCACTTTTTAGGTATTATTACGTTGTCATGTTTCATATGCGGAATCGTAAATACAAATAATTATACATTTAAGCTCGAATAAATCAGACATAAATCTACTTATTTAAAGCTTACTGTATTGTAACTATTTATTTGTCATAATCTAAAGTTGATGATGTTACCTAATCGAATATAAGGTGAAAAATAGCGCCTTTGCATCGAATATATACATGTCAGTGTTATTACAACAATGAAATATTTTACTACGTTACAAAACACATTAAGTTGGTAATTAAAAAAAATCTTAGACATAGACAGAAGTAATGTCATAAGTTATTACATGTAAACCATACAAAGGTATTTCAAGCATGTTCGAGCTGTTGAGAGTTTCATGTTGATTGGAATTGTCAGTTTTCAATGCAATTTACACGAGCATTGTGTAAAACAACGTTTGTATTTGATCCCTGTAATTATCACGTGTATCAACGAATTCAGTCTCTATTCATCCATTGTCACTAAAGCAGGATAGTATATCAGATACGGTATCGATACACATGCGTATAATCATTCACTCAGATTACAGTAATGAGATAATTAAACATCTCTTTCGACCTTGAAATAACAGCCTTCGGTAGAATGCATATGCAGTTACGCCCTTGTTCAAAGGTTTGTCCCGTGACAAGTGTAAAATAAACAGATGCGCTGTTATATCATTGGACAACCTGCTTTATGGAGCCACGCCCCTCTCTGTAATGTTTATGCATCTGTAATTTTATGAACCTCGTTTGAATTCAGTATAAATATAGGCACGCCCATCCTCATAAATATTTGGGGGCATTCAACTGCAAGTTTATACAATGCAATAATTCAGTATAGTGTCATTTTTTTTAAATTCTATAATACGTGTACTATAATTGTGATATTCATTCGTATCAAGGTGAAGATTACATTTACATGTACAGCAAACCATTATGTTCTATGCACTAGCTGTGTGCGTAAAATGTATATGAAAATAAATACTATCGCTACTCAATGGTTGGATTTCAATCGCTTTGTTTTACTTATCGAAAAACACTAAAATCTCTGAGGACAAATAAACTCGCCAAAGTGTCTATCTACTAGGGTTGCGCAATATAACCGGTTTACCGGTATTTACCGGTTCAGACATGAAAACGATACGTATTGCGATACGCTGATCTAAAACCGGTATTTTGACATGCATTCGGAAAACTTCGTAACACTCGGAAATCTTCAGATATTGCCTTGTTTCATTCACAGGGGCTTGTAACGCTAAAAACTGCCATCAAGGCATATACTATCACTGACGGGGTCTTAGTACTATATAAAAGGAAAGGGATGTAACGAGGTCAACACACCAAGTTCGTGTCAGGGCGAATTCAACAATGATCACTGCATACAACCCTATTAAACTATACACGCATTAAAAGCCAATAGATTTACCTACAAAATGAGACACAGATCACAAAAATCGAAGTAGTACTTTGGGTGCTAGGGCCTTCGGAACGTCGAAAAATCATGATTTTTCGATTCCGAGCCAAAATCCCTGCTCAGAATTTGTACCGCAAACTTACCGAATTTATTTTTTATTGCATCGTGTACGCTCACACCGCGCACCAAAACACGCTGATTCGATGGCACCTGTCTCCGTGCTGATCGCCAGTCGTTCCGAGACTCATAAACTTTACAGTCATAATCGGTTTACCTATGTTTATACATCGCGATCGGGCTTGAGCCATACCCTTTCGCCATTGACGACCTTGGCCTTCGCCTACCCCGCACCGAACATAGCCTCCCATCTGATTGGCCAAACAAGGGAGGTAACTGAAGAGCGTAAACAAGCATGGTCAGACGACAATGTCAACATGACACTGACTGACAAGCAGAAAGCAGCCCTCGAAGTCGCTTTATCGCGACATAATTTGGCGATACTTGGTCAAGCGGGTGTCGGAAAGACATTTCTTCTCAACCACATCAAGGATGAACTGAAACGAAACGGTCTGCAAGTCGTCGTGACGTGCACAACCGGAGTTGCTTGTGCCAATTATTCCGTAAGTGCTAGCACATTTGATCCATTCTAGTGCCATATATTTATAACTTTGTCTGGCAGTAAAATGTTTAGTTATAGCAAGATCTATACTTTTGAACAATTGTCGAGTGTGCAGGGCCCCAAGTGCTGTCTTATTTGAGACAAATATGTTGTCATGTACACATTTCAATGAATACAAATCATGTAGTTAAAGGAAGCCATACACCTTTTCTTGCAGAATGCTATAACCATTCATCGTTTTTGTGGTATTAAAGACGGCCGCTATTCAATTCAAGAATTGCAGCAAGTTCTTGAGCGAGAAGAGAGGACCCGAGACAGGCTATGCCACACAGATGTCTTAATAATTGATGAGATATCCATGTTAAGGTATGAATTATGACTTTGCATAAACTTATAAATACAATCATTTTGTTCCTCAAATGCATTACATTTACCCCCAAAGTTTATTTTCATGGAAAAAATGCACTTCATGTGCTTGCTTAATTAAAATTAAATTACATAATTATCAATATGATCATAGCAGTTCACACATTTACACACATTGTCATGTATTAATGTAATTACTTAAGGTATGAATTTTTACTTTGCATGCTCATGATGCTTGTTTACTCACACCTTTTTCTGTGACTGACTTTAATGAAACTTATAAATACAACCCTTTTGTCCCTCAAATTCAATACTTTTACCCCAAAATCTATTTTCATGGGGAAAGACATAAAAGGCACTTCACTTGCTTGTACAATTGAAGTTATTTATCAATACGATCACAGTGTTGTAAAGCAGGTCCCACAGGTTAATGTATTTTCCTTACCAGGTATTATTTTGGTGTTTCAGCTACAAGATGCTGTGTGAAGTAGAAGCAGTTTGCCGAATGGCTAGGAAGAGCCAACAGATGTTTGGGGGACTGCAGGTGATTGTATGCGGGGATTTCTTCCAGCTCCAACCTGTGCCAAATACACTGTATGGTGACAGAGGCGACTTTGCATTCAGGTATTTAAGAGTAATCATCATGTTCATGCTGGTTGCAGTGAGGCATAATGAGTAATATTCACAAAACTGGGTTTATTAACCTACCTATGCAGGCAAGATTACTTGTACTGTGATAACAGCTAGCCAAGGCATATGTTTGTAAGTTTCACAAATTCTTTTTAGCACATGTGGTTACATTTACACTTTAAAATGCCATTTTTACCTTTTGCAGTGGACCTTTATGGAACAATGCTTTTCCACATCATATCATTCTTGATAAAGTTGTCAGACAGAGTGAAATCCAGCTGATAACTGCTGTGAGGGAAACAAGTCGTGGGATAGTTTCACAGGACACTGTTGACTTTCTAGAAAGTCTGTCTCAGCCACTGGAAGGTCCAGAGCATGTTGTGAGAGTCTTTTCCACCAACCAGCAAGTAGATATGCACAATCAGAGGACACTAATGGACCTACAAGGTAAGGTTCCAAAGAACTAGGCATGTTCCATTTTGATTATAATTGATTGTGGAAGACAGTTCCAAAGATGGGGAGCTGCGATGGAGAACGCTCTATCACCTATTCTTGTTTCGCTGAGTGGAGTGGAGAGAGTGAAGAGGTCACTGGAATGAGGAGATTGACTGGGTTTGTGGAGAAATACAAGGTCATTGAGATAAGATCAGGAATTATAGCTGCAGTTATCATGGTTATGGGCGAGGAGGATAATGTTGAATCTGATGCGTTGTATGATGGAAAACCAGTGGAGAGATTGGAGAACTGGGCAGATATGGTCAGAGTTTCGTTCTTGATACTGGTGGTGCTGCATTTCGAATTCACTGTAGTTTTGACTCGAGTGAGCGTGAGATGTTGAAACAGAGCGTTTGAGTAGTCAAGACGTGAAGTGACGAGAGTTTGCATCATGAGTTTAGTTGTAGTGTCTAGTAGATGTCAGACCTTGCTTATGTTACGAATTTCAAAGTAACAGGCATTTCAGAGTTGGTTAACATGCTGTTCCATGGACATGTTGCTCACGAATGGTACCCCTAGGTTCCTGGCACTGGCTGACCACAGTCACTGATTCTGACACAGATGGTTAAAGTTTTTGAAGCTGCTTGTTTCATCTGAGAGTTAAAAATCCAAAATACATGTACAATCTGTTGTTATGTTTGCATTTTAACCCTTTGTAAATTTCTTTCTTCAGGAGAACTGAAAATATTCTACAGCGAAGACTGGGGTGAGAAAAAACACTTGGATAGGATTGTGGCGCCAAAGTGTCTGTGGCTGAAAGTAGGATGCCAGGTTATGCTGCTGAGGAACCTGTCAGACAATCTTGTCAATGGAAGCATTGGTGTTGTCACTGAAATCTCTCAGGATTGCATTTATGTTGATTTTCCAAGGAGCTCATCTAAGATAGAGAAATATACATTTGGAGGTAAGAATATGATAATATTCCATGCTACTAGGTCTCATGTCAGGCTTGTTCCATCTGTGGCTTTGCTTGATAATAAGGAATCCACTGTACATGTGTCAAGTCAGTTTGCCTTCTTTAAAAGTTGTTGTCATTGGTAAACTTAATCGTGATTAGTTAAATCTGATAGTGGGTTTATTTTCTGCAGTTTCTGTTGTTTGCTTTGTCGCAATGGGCCTTTGACTCCAGAAGAGAACGAATCTGCTGATGTTCTCTTATGATGACAATTACTTTTTTTGGAGATAAGTTCTTGTCCCAGAATGATACTGTTGTTAGTTTTCTGATAGGTGGCATAATTTGGGTTGGTGGCATTTCCATTATGCAAACCTCTCTGTTGACAGAAATGATTCTCAATGGGATCACTGTTGATGCATGATGGCTTCACCCCGCTCCCATGATGCTCAAGAAGATACTCTTTCACCATACTGTCAAAGCCAAGAATACAGGCTGTCAGGTCTTCTCTGCATTGGGGTGACATCAGTGCCTTCCTCTTTTCTGCTGGTGTGCCTGTCAGATGATCTTCCCAGTGTTTGAACCACTGGAACACTTGTCTGTTTTCATAGAGCCTCTTGTCTCCGGTATGAGTTATTGTCCGGTGGTCTCTGAAATTGGCGACCAAAATGCTTGTTTGAGTTAATAACTCAATGGCTCCATTCAGCATTTCTCCTCTTGAGCCTAAGGAAGCTTTGTAGTGGAGGAAGAGTTCTAACATATCCTTGTCAAGAACTTCTTCTGCAAGATGATTGCGCATCTTCTGCGATTGATCAGGGTATATGTGATCTGCGGTCATCTTCCTGTGAAACTGCAGTATGTTGCACTTGTCCCATTTGTATGCATCCACCCAAAACTGCCAAAAGATTTGGAAACCAGATGGCAATTCTAAGCAGCGCACCTTACCGTTTTTTGCACTTTTCAGAATGCTGTTCCGGATTTTCTTGAGACAGTGAGAAATGTCCATAATAAAATGTAACTTCCTAAGAGGATTGGATTCTGACCTTGCCGTGAGTGACAGTCGGTCGATGTCAACATTCATTCTCATAAAGGCACGGTTTGCACCGGCTCCATCCATGCTTACAAAGAGCACTCTAAAATTCCATGTGGCGAGGTTGTCAATGGCTTCATGAACCATGCAGTGAGTGTCCGAGGCACTGGCTGTCTTCACCGGAAAGTGAGCAAATGGGAATCGAAAACCGCTCATTCCCAAGAAAAGCATCTGAAATACATGGGTTGCCAACTGCTGCTTCTTTGTTCCACTCTGGATTGTTTTCATGTGTTCGGACTCTGGAAGATTTTCAACAAAGCCAACAAACTCTATGCCTGAGGCACTTCTTACCATATGAATGTCTGACTGTATTGACATCTCATCAATCAGAATCCCTCCAGTTCTTCCAGACTCATGCAGCTTCAACCTCTCTGCTTCATTGTGCATCCAGAGAAACACTTCATCGCAAAACCCTGACCGTTGTTCGACTGAGTTTTTATACAGAACAAGGAGTGATTCTGATGGCAGTAATAGCAGTCCACTACTCCTTAAGTCACTGTAGCTGCATGGGCTCCGTGTCCATAAGGTCAAGCAGGTTTGCAGAACAGATTTGGGCCAACGGTTATTGCGAGGATCTTTGTTGGATGAATTATGAATCTGACTGCAGAAAACGTCAAGCATGTTGTCAGATGCATTAGGAATTAAATTCCTTAAGAGTTCTCTACTTCCAGCAACTTTAGACTCTTCACCCTTGTTCATTTGATTCTCATGCTTTTGCTGCCTGAATGATATGTGCCTACACACACGACAACAGTTGGTTGTTCCGATGAATGTGACAACATAGTTACATGAGGGTGACCTCAGACACTTCATGCTAAACTTTATATCTCCATGTTTTGACCAATTCACATTTATTTGGTTTCCTGTACAATGTCTTTTGTCCTTGATGACACCTAAACAAAGGGGAATCTTCTCCACAATTTGACACACTGTCATCACATTGAGCGGGGTGCATTGAAATGTTGTGTCAATGTATAGGCATTGTAGTTCCTTCTTTGCGATCTTAGAGCCAGACACTATCAGATGCCAGTCATTTTCATTGAAGACAAGTTCTTTCTGAACAACATTTCCATTGGCACGTAAACCAGTGTCAAGTCCTAAATGCACACTATCATTATTCACCTCGATGATTCTGTATTGGGGAGGTATGTTTTTGATGATGACATCTGTATCAAAATCACATTTCTCAAGTGAAGGATAAGGCCTTAAATGTATTCCATGATAAATACTGATCTGTAGTCCTTTATCTCTTGGTCGGTGAAGTTTGACAACTGGGAAAATTGATTTCAGTAGTCTTGAAAAAATATTTGGCGAACAGGGTGTGTGTCCTATTTCTTGTATTTCCAACCTGTACTGTTCATGCAGATGATCAACTGCAATTTCACCATCAGGTTGAAATTCTAGTCTCCCCAAAAGCCTGTTAAATGCAATACAGTACATTTAATAACCAAACTTGTTTGTATCATGAAGAACACAATTCTTTGATTTATCAATGGATTTGTTTCTTCAAACTGTTCAAACAGTGAATCAACATGCCTTATTGCATTTCATATTTAAAAAAATCTGGTTATATATATCCAGTATCAATGAGCATAGACGATGACAAGGATTATTTGATATTGTTGTATTTAATAGAGAATATACATGTGTTTTGTATTCTGTTTGTCCGGTCAAATAATAATATCAACAACATTCAGTCCTTGCAGCATGAACTATATATCATATATAATATATTAACTTTGTATGATTTCAGTTTATGACCCAAGGCTCAAGTCAGATGTTGCCAGAAGATTACAGTTTCCACTAAAACTGTGCTATGCCCTCACAGTGCACAAATGTCAAGGAATGACAATTGACAGGTCAGTCGCCACTTTTACAATCATAAGTAAAAGTCAGTATCAAGATTTACTACTGTTAATGATGTTCTCTTTGTGAGAATGATTTCGCCTTGTTTATAAAGTGACCAGGCCATGGAGAAAGTTTACATTCATTTTGTCGTGTGTTACAAATATTTCTTGATGATAGTAAAATGTCTAATGTCTAATTAAGTATCGCTATAAGTATCAGATTAATTTGGGAATTTGTTTCAAGTTATTTAAGCTACTTCTATGTTATCCTTTTATATATATTAATGTCAAAAACGACCATAGTCCATTCTTTTCTGAAGATTGGTTGAAATCATTTTTAGAAAGTAAATTTGACTTCCATCTTGTTCAGTACTTTATAAACAACAACTATAAACAAATACTATTTTGTCCTTGGTGATTATGTCGTTGGTTTGTTTCCTTTGTTGGTATGTTATCTTTTAATTGCAGATTGGAGATTGACTGTGATAATATGTTTCGACCTGGTCAGCTTGGAGTTGCATTAGGTCGTGCACGAAGGATTGATGGACTTAGGGTCACTAAGTTTGATGTATGTGCTGTTATCCCCCAACATGACATCCTTTTTGAATTTTATGAAAGGGAATCTGTGCCAATCCTGGACAACAACGCTTGCTGCCAACTTTCATATGAAAGGTGATTTTATTGTTCATGAAATGTTAATGTGTCAAATGTCGTGAGAGAGATGGCATGATTATCTTCTGAACTGTACTTTAAAAAAATCAGGGTCAATTATTTTGAATACTGGATCCATAGTTACATGTGGTATCATTAAAAAAAGGAATGGGTGGTAATACTAGTCACACTATAAGATGTGTAGTAATAGTATTTATAAGATGCTTCATTTAAATATCAAAGGTGCCAAAATTACTTCATGTCGCATCCTCGTACTTTAAATGTAAAAGTTCAGGGCAAAAGTGTACTTTATTACACTATACATTGGGGTAGAGTAAACTTATTTTCCTAAGTAAAAACTATTGATGTCATCACACATTTGAAATGAATGATGATTTTTGGTAAAAAGTGGAATAATGATCATTTCCTTAGTTCATAAACTTTTATGAGTGACATTTTACCAAACAAATTCTGCATCGATACCATTAATATTGCAGCACATCTGGAGAGGATTTCATGTCCCCAGTGGCAGATAGAACCATCGATGTGTTCGATATTGCTGATGATTTCAACTTGATAAAAGCCTATGAAGACTGCATTAGCAAAATCCCAGAGGATGACAGTGAGGAAGAACTTGATACAGTTGAGAGCACCTATGAAGTACATGATGCATTGTCAATTCTCAGATCTGTTCGCCCCAAATATGACATCACAGAATTTCAGAAGGAGGTGAATGTTCAAATTAGTTTGGGAGAAAAAAATCCAGAAAGAGTTGCTCACTACTGTTCACTTGTGGAAAATTTCATCTCCAAAGCCTATGCACAAACTGTTGATGTTAATTGCAAAAGTGAAACTATTAACAAGTTCTACAAAATCTGCCATGACTATCTGACAACATCAAAATACAAAGTTGCTGTGGTGAATTTGTTTGGATCCCAGGGTGATGTTGAGTATCACATATGCTACAAAATGTTTCTGAGTTTGAGAGAGCGATTCCTCAAGCATAAGAGTGAAGATGCGAAGCACCTTGCTGAGGAAGATGTCAATCCTAGAAGTTGTGTGGACATTAATGACGCAACAAGAGGCAAAATACGTTATGTAGCTGGATATTGCTTCAGAAAACTTCATCAGAAATGTGCCAGTAATGTTGCCAACAACATATTCAAGGCTAAGGCAGGTTCACTGGAGATTGTAAAGAATGAGTATAAGAAAAAACAAATGATAGAAATGGCTTTGAGGAATCAGAGACAGATTGTGTCTGAGACAAGTGACCCAGCCAGTTTAAAAGAAATAAGAAGAAAACAGAATATCAGAGAAGGTCTCATAAATATTAGTGATTCTGGCTTTGAGTTTGCCATGCAAGTCAGTAAGATATGCATACATTTGCAAACAGAAAGAAATCTGCATGAGTATGGTAGAAATTTGCATTGGTTTGTGGTGGAGTCTCTCAAAGGAAAAGCAGAACTGTTTGAGAAGTGGATGAATGTGTTTAAAATGAAGTCACACTCAACAGAGACTGTTACAAGGGTTCCTGTACTAGATTGTCTTAACAGTGTTGTAGATTTTGCCACAGGTGTCACAGAAACCTACAATAACTTTATTGAGATTTTCACCAGAATCATGTCCAAACAATTTGTTAGAGACATCTTGGAGTCTTGGGAAAATAAGAAGAAAGAGGCACACAGGAAAGACATTAAAATTACAAAAGGAAAAGATACAAGGGAGAGTTCACAAACCAAAGAGCCATTGGAAGGATGTGTAGAGAGTCATGGCAGAGGCAGAGGCAGAGGCAGAGGCAGAGGCAGAGGCAGAGGCAGAGGCAGAGGCAGAGGCAGAGGCAGAGGCAGAGGCAGAGGCAGAGGCAGAGGCAGTGGCAGTGGCAGTGGCAGAGGCAGAGGCAGAGGCAGAGGCAGTGGCAGTGGCAGAGGCAGTGGCAGAGGCAAAGGCAAAGCCTTGACATCGGCACTCTCTGTTGAAAACCCATGTGGGATATGTGATGCAGAATGTTATGTTGACTGTGTTGCCTGTGACCTTTGCGAGAGATGGTTTCATGGAAATTGTCTGAAAGTGCATGACCTAGATTGTTTACCGGATGAGTGGTTCTGTCCCCAATGTAGTGAATAATTATACTGCAAACAGCAGAGGTATTGATCCTAAAACGAAATAAAATACAGGTATAAGCATCTTTAGTAGCTGAATGTAATAAGCGGTTACTATCTTAGTGCTCAATTTAAGGAAATGGTGCACATTGTGCATATTCACATGTAGACAATATTACAGCAGACAACCATGATGCACTCATGACAGTACGTCTCAACTGTACACTAGTGTTGATATGGTTAAAATCTCATAATTGATGATTGGTTCCGTACAACTGATCAATCATTGAAAATAATTGGTCAGCGTCGTTTATCAAATTATCCTCCTTTTTTTTCCACATTTTTTATTCACATCAGTAGGTAAGTTGTTATACAGATGTCAAGTCTAATACAAGCTTATACATGTTGACAGTTAATAACACATCAGTCTTCAAGCATGAGTACATGCATTCAAGTGTTACTGCACAAAGATCATAAGTTTTATACATTGAGGAGTCATAACACATCAGACCATGTTGTGTAATGGGCGCCCCGTTTACTCCACATTCGTCTGGCTGGTTTTTCATTTTGGCAACATATCTTTCAAAGAAGCGATGGAGGATTTTAGGATCAATATTAAATTTTTAATACAGCTTATGCATTAAATATGTATATCTTTTCCCATCCGTGGATTGGCACATATTGTAATTCGCGATCTCAAAATTCTACTTTAAGCTTGTTGAAGAGTCATGACACATCGGTCCATATTGTGAGTAGTGGTAGCCATTTACTCCTACATTCATTTAGTTGGTTTTATATTCTAGCAACATATCTCTCAACTTGAAAAATATCTTTCAAGATAGCAGTAAAAGATTTGAAAGATAGAGATTCTTTTCTAATACAACTTATGTATATATATCTTTTTCCGGGCCAAAAGAATGTGGTTCACCAGTTTGAAGTTTGCGGTCCCCTGGATACCACAGCGGATGGATTTAAGATTAAGCTGAATCTCATGACACAGGTGTTGTCTCAAAAATTGTTCCAGATTGTACCAGAAATGACTAACCTGTGGACATTCAAAATATACGTGCACAATCAATTCGTTTTCATTGTTACATCCTTGACAAGTACTATTGTCGATCAGCTTCATCTTAAATAATTCCTTTTTGGTGTATATAATGCGATGCAAAAATCTATATTGGAAATTTTGTAGCTTGATATCTCTACAACATTGTTTAGGAAGACTAAATATTTCCTTCCAGTTTTAGTCAGTTAAGAACATTTGTTGCCATTTACTAAAAATAATAGGGAGATAGTTATTTTGCACAAGTATATCATATATCTTCCGGGATCCCTTTGCTGGTTTAATCCATTCCATTAGAAAGTTATTCATCATAAGATCGTAGACACATATGGGTTTAGAATTGTCTATCACCTTTATCCATTCTTTAGGGAGATTACTAACAACTCGATGGTGGTCCAGATAAGTACCCTTGAGGTTGAATTTTTTTTTCAAGTCTACAAAGGGTAGGAGCCCATTCTCATCACATAGGTCTCTTATATAATGCACTCCTTTACCGAACCAGTTTTCTATAATAAAATTTGAGTCTGTACACTGGTGGTTAAACCATATCGGGTTCAGCTAGAATAGCCTGATTATCTCTTGCATCTGTCAAATGAGACCTATAGTATTTACTCCAAATATATATCAAATCCTGCCAGTAGGGAATATCAATTTTACAAAGTCTGTAAGGCGATACATGGGCACCCATAGTCTTTATTGTGTAATAAGGATGTATTAAATTAATACTATCTTGAGATAGTAAAAAGAAATCCAACCTAGCCTGCTGTATAGGATTTTTTTTCCACCATGTAAAACATTTAGAGCCTTGGTTATATTGTCTCCAAATATCCAACAAATCGTAATTTTCTATCATATCTAAGACCACTTGCATGGCTTTAGGTTGTTAACATGCCGATAGTTCTCTAAATCTATTGACGGTTCAAGTACGAAGTTCCAGTCTCCACACAAGACCAAAGAATCATTTTCAAGGCTATCAATATTTCTAAAAATATTCTCATAGAAAGTTGGATCATCATTGTTTGGGCCGTAAATATTTGAAATGGTACATTTTATCCCATCAATTGAGATATCTTCAATAATAAAGTTGCCATAAGGATCTTTTATTGTTCTATGTATTTTGACTTCAATATTGTTATTAAAAAGAATGGCAACCCCTCTTGCATTAGATCTATAAGGGGCGATAATGCACTCTAATCCCCATTCGTTTCTCATTAGTAGTTCATCTTTTTCAGCAACGTGAATATCTTGTAGACAAATAATTGAGCAACATGTTTTTCCTCATATGTTCATTATTTCTCTATGCTTGTTTTTCTCCCCAAGGCCCCTGCAGTTTACAGACACTATTTTAATTTTATTATCCATGGTCATGTTTGACAAAGTCAAAGGTATTCATAGGCATTAATACGTCTATGGCAACATAGTTATTTTTGGAAGTGATTAACGCGTAGCATGAAGTACCTACAAATGTGGAGTTTGTAGTTAATAAACAGAAGTTAAAAAAGCATTATGCAGTTGTATGTGAAAATGGATGATATTCGTTGAACACATTGTTACTTGTACAACAAAAGCCTGTCCTCAAATTATCCTATTAGAGTTGTTAATACACACTCAAAAATAAAGAACAAACATGTAGTTCTTTGGTTGTTTTTCTAACATTGCACAAAATGCATTGGCAAATTTAACATCTGTAAATGATGACTAGTATGTTAGGAACATTAATTTGTGGGAGTCTTCTTGATAAATTCAATCATGACTTGGAACGAGCTCATAGCGCTTATGAAATGTAAATTTAATGACAGACAAATCCAACCTTGTGAAAAATATTGTTAATGCAAACAAATGTTCCCAAATTGTCTGTGTTCGATTATGCAAAAACATTATCAATTGCTTGGTTAATTAGTCACTGCAACCAATCTTTGATTATTTCAAATAATCGAATCACCACTACTATGCACAATTAGAAGAGATAAGATATCTGACTTGAGATATGTGTCTGTAGTTTTCTTATATTTGCAGGTCTCTGACAAGATCACTTCCAGCTGGTTCACATAAACATCTATGGATTTCTTGTTATCATAAACCTGCCATGAAAGTATAACCATTGTCTGCATTAATTATAAGTTTTGGATAACTTGTGAATACCACTTGTTCATAACTGGTAAAACCCCAACACTAATCAAAATTATTTTATAACAGTACTTGTAGTGTTGTATACAAACTGCATTATGTCTTTGAAAACTTGTTTGGAAAGTCAATCGCCAATTTATAAACCTTTCATAGAGTATATCTTATAATTATTAATAGGGTTGCATTGTTCAATATCAGGATTACTAGTGCATATTCTATGTAGTTAAACCAAGCCATATGTATAATTTTTATTTTTAGTCTTGGGTTAGCTGTGAAAAAAAAAAATCTATTTGTCTCTTATAACACATTCATATACTATTCATTTTCATGATTTATGTATTACTGATGCCATGATCCCCATGTTTACATCACATAGATTATGTATGTAGAATAAATATTTTTACTGTTCATTCATATGAGTTGAATATATTTTTCTTGAAACTTCAAATTGTCTTCCCAGAAAAGAATATACCAGGGGTCCAAATATATACCTCAAAGGCTCTTCACCTACAACAGCCTAAACTATTTCACATACAGTTCACCATATATCATGTGTAGACTGCATGTATTTAAATGAATTCAAACCAGATCAGGCACAGTCAACAGCAGCCACATTCATGTAAACATACATAAAGATTTCTCAGTGAATTTCACCACGGCAATAATGTAAAACTGAATCACTATAATCTTTATTGTTAGCATCATTGACCAAAGTGAAATACCAACTCATCAAATATTTAGACTTTGCAACCAGAATATGGTAAATATTTATGGGTCCTTTGAAAGGTCTTCATAAATTTCAGATTATCTTTTGACAGATTTTACATTTAATTTACAATACATACTCCCATTTTATTCATAATGTTATAAAACCAGCTCTTAAATGTTACAGTTAACATTGTATCAATGGGTAAAAACATATAACTCAGTTCTAATTTGTGTTTAACAATTTGATATAGACAATTTAAAAAACATGTTTTAGCTGTACACTCTTCTTGGAATTTATTGATATTCATAAAACATGATACATAATCATGGAAAACATGAGAAATTATTGAAAGAAAATAATTACTTGCCAATTAATTGTTGACATGATTGTGAAATGTTGACATTTGCCGTTTTCATGCTTCGCGCCACATTAGCAGACGACGTGAGGTGAAAAATAAATACAAAGCTTATTTTATTTATAGCCAATCAGATGGGAGGCTATGTTCGGTGCGGGGTAGGCGAAGGCCAAGGTCGTCAATGGCGAAAGGGTATGGCTCAAGCCCGATCGCGATGTATAAACATAGGTAAACCGATTATGACTGTAAAGTTTATGAGTCTCGGAACGACTGGCGATCAGCACGGAGACAGGTGCCATCGAATCAGCGTGTTTTGGTGCGCGGTGTGAGCGTACACGATGCAATAAAAAATAAATTCGGTAAGTTTGCGGTACAAATTCTGAGCAGGGATTTTGGCTCGGAATCGAAAAATCATGATTTTTCGACGTTCCGAAGGCCCTAGCACCCAAAGTACTGCTTCGATTTTTGTGATCTGTGTCTCATTTTGTAGGTAAATCTATTGGCTTTTAATGCGTGTATAGTTTAATAGGGTTGTATGCAGTGATCATTGTTGAATTCGCCCTGACACGAACTTGGTGTGTTGACCTCGTTACATCCCTTTCCT